GTGTAATCCTGCCAAACACTATTGTATTACTGAGAACTATCAAGTGTATAAGTATATCGTTTACCAAACAATGTGCATCTTTCCTATGCAGAGATGGTTTTGCTCTAGCAGAAGTTTGGGCTTGATTGGAGGAAGAAATCTGCAAGAACGTGAGTTTGACAGAGGTAGAAGTTGCTGACAAACTTCTTGAATTCCGTTCGAAGCAATTTGGTTTTCTTGACACAAGTTTTGACACCATAAGTGGTATATTAGCCCCCCCCCATTTTCTTTTTAATGGTTATATCTTTCTGTAAACTTCTGAAGGTGCTTCTATCTTCGATAGTGTTCTTATTTTTCATCAAAACATCTCACCAAAATATGTGTCTAACCATAGTGTGTGATACTCTTATTTAGCTTCTTCTATAAACATAATATTCCGTGCAAGTCTCTACTATAGCATCAAATAATTTTAGACAATTAATGGATACATTACGTATTACTCCCTCCGTCCCAATTTGAGTTGCAAAATTGACTTTTTTTGGGTCAAACGGACTAATTTTATTCGTTTAATTAAGATATCAATTCTTAATTAAATTTCAATTTGAATTTTACAATTTTATAGAGATTTTAATGTAATTTTTGAATATGTAAATTTTAATTTTTAAAATTGAATTAATTATCAATAGGAAGGATTTAGCTTTAACGTTGATTGACCAAAAAAATGTTGACTTTGCAAAACAATTTGGGGCGGAGACAGTATAAGTTTGATACCATGAGGCACCCACTCTAACATGGTTGGAGCAAAGGTGGTAGTGGTGGTGTTGATTGATACATACAACATTGACATGCAAAAATATCAAATTCTCTGTGATGCTTTTTAACCTCCAGTTTTATAAATGTTTTACTCTTAGAGAATCCATTTTGTCCCCTAGAATATTTTGTTACACGGTTACTTTCTTTTGTGTTTAGTCCATGGCTTTACAATGTTTTAACTACTGGTCTTGCGGATAAGGAAATCTGAATCTTGCCTAAATTTTTTGTTTAGTGTTACTCCGTATTTTTATTTCCTCAATCCTCATCCTGAGTTCAAATTCATACTTTATGCCTCTTATAATGTCATAGCAGGTTCCAGCATGAATGACAATATCATTCATTACAAACCAGAGCCTGATAGTTGCAGCACTGTGTCAACATGAACTTTTCCTTTTAGATAGTGGTGCTCAATATGTTGATGGAACAACTGACGTAACAAGGACACTAGGACAGTCCATTTAGGTGAGCCATCTTCACGTGAGAAACTGAGAAAGAATGTTTTACTCGGGTCCATTGCTGACCATCACCCAGCTGCTCCCTTAATTTCCGTTTTGTGGTGCTAACCGGCCAGGTATGTTGTCTTTCCGTGCATTTTCTCTCCATTTTCTAACCTTAACTTTCACGTTTACCTGAAAAGTTTCATCTCAGATTAAATATGTGAACTATTATAAAGGCATCATTTCACTTGGGACCACATATGTATACACTTTTTTGTCTAATAGGTTATACTTATTAAAAAAAAATGGAAAAAAACAATAAATACATATTTGAGAATAGAAAACAACACTACTGTATAGAAAGGATAATTGACTGCAAAAAGGTGATTATAAATAGGAAAAAGATTTCTTGAGGAACTCAGAGAGTGTGTGTGTGTGGGGGGGGATCAAGGGATATTATTGTCTGTTTTAGGAAAAGGGAACTGTTATGCTCTAAAATGAAAAGAATGCTTCAGCAAATCACGTGAACTGTCTAAAGTCGTAGTATATAAAGTTAAGGTAAAAGACTTTAAGGTTTAATAGAAGCACAGTGAGTAAAATTAGTTATGATAGAATCCTCTGAAGCTCTGTGATTGTATGCAAAACATTTATTATAGTTATCTCAATATGTCAAATTATAGAATCCTCTAGAAGAAATAGAATGCTTCATCAATTAACTTTTAAAGAATGAGCTCTTGCTTGAGGGTGGTAATCTGAATGTCTAAGAAGGATTGAGAAATAAAGTTATTTACTTATGTTTGTTTTTATCTTGTTGCACTTTCCTTTAGGTGTCTGGAAGACACTGCATCAATAAGGCCAACAATACGAGAAGTGGTAAAGGAGAGAAGTGGTAAAGGAGATTGAGAATATCATAGTAGTAGTTGTGCAAAACCCTCACTCTGAATCTGATTCAACGTTAGGGAGCTATTCAGGAGCAAGCAAAGGCTCCAGTCATCCTTATAGTGATGAAAGTCTATTTGTCTACTCGGTTGTGACTTCTAAGTAAGATAAGCAACAGCTTGGGTATTTAACCATTTTGTTTTCACATGGCTTGATACTCTTTGACAGCCTTATGATATTTTGTATGTGCGAGTAGGGATGATGTAGAAATATATTCTTGTGAAACAGGAAGTGATGAATAAGTAGTTTAAGCGCGAAGAAACATTAACGAGGAATTAATATCCCTACAATGGTCTTGGGCATCACCACGAACGCGCAACGCGCGTTACTAAACTAGTATCTTCTATAAGTAAAGAGGGAAAAACATTATTGTACATTATAAGAGATATAATAGTTTTTGCATACTTATAATCTTTATATACACATTGAATGTGTATGATAAGTCAAGAAGATGTACTATACAATGATTTGGGAGAAATTTCTAAATTTTAATATTTAATAATACATGAATAGAAATAAACTATATATAGACAGATTAAGGTTTTTTTTATTTCGAATAAAATTTTATAGTTTGGTCTACTCTGATTTGGTCTGATATGAAATGGTCTGATCTTGTCTTTTCTTGTTCGGTAAATGTCTGGTTTATAAGTAATTTATAATTTTTTAGGTCTGATCTATTATATCTAGTCAGGTTTGGTCAGGTCAAATCTTGTATAGGAGTGAAATAAGTCTAAGTAAAAACTTTTAAAACACATCAGATTAGACAAAAATTGATCGGACCCAATTACACCAAATAAAAAAATCAGTTCAATTAAAAATATATATGATTCCACATTTAATTAGTTAATTTGTCACATGTTTAATTGTTAAAGAAATTTGCTCACAAAAAAAAAATACATGGATGTGACATGGATGTTTAATTATTTAAGACATTTACTCACATTTCTCCCTTCAAAAAAAATATATCTAAGATGTATTTGCATTTATCACGAATTCATAAGTGCTCAAGACATGCTCTTAAATCTTAAACACTCCTTATGATCACCATTAGAGAGTTGCCGTTGGAGAAGGGAAGAAATGCTCTCTTCTAAAGAGGAAAGTGTCAATTGAGTACATCAACTTGTACGAAGTGAAGTAAAGAGTGCACTATATTGCATTTGGCATTTATAAGTGCATAAACTTGGTTATTCAGTGTTGATTGAATACATTTGTTAGATTAACATGTCAATATGTCTGAGTTAACTAACAAAATCCTGAGTAATGGACGAAGTTTATACGCCGACCTTCACGAATTTGACCAAAAAGGAAAAATTGCCCTTCGGAGGTTGACCTGCGTGGGACGTCGGCCGGCAGGGATGCATCGACCAAGGAAACGTTGACATGTGGGCGATTGACATCGATCAAGAGAAAGTCGATCAAGGAGCTGGGGTTGGCGGCAATCTTCAGGAGTTGACTTATTAGCATTCTGTTAGCAAAATCATCCGTATTAACATATCAATTTAACGAGTGTACTCAATTAACACTAAAATCTGAGTTTGTGTACTTAAAAAATCAAATGCAATATATTATACTCTTAATTCCGCTTCATATCAGTGTATGTACTAAATTGAAGCTTACCACTTTAAAGAAATAGAGAGTTTTAGAGAGTGTTTGCGATTGCTTGTGCTTTTTAAAAGTAATTTTTTAAAGAGATTATTGGAAAAGTGATTTATAGTAAAAATAGGTAGTGTTTGGGAATAGAAATGATTTTTATTAAAAGGTAAACGTTGGAGTGTTTGAGAAAAAGTGATTTTTAATGGAGTATTTTGTTAAAGTTAAAGCTACACACTAAACACGGCCAGATGACTTTCTACCTTCATAGCTCACATAAGTCAAGAATTAAACACTAATAGAATTATTGACAATTTTGCTTCTAAGAATGCCTAAAAAATTGTTTTGTATGGCTTATGATACCGAGTAGTTCTATGGACAAAAATGTTTGCTTGTATAACAAATTTTATTTTGATGATGAAACTTTTGCAATACATTCTTACAACATACTACCTCCGTCTGCTAAGATTGTCTTATTATACCTTTACGGTCCGTCCCATTAAGATTGTCTCATACCTTATTTGGTAAAGTTTGTGTTGCTCTAAATTATTCTTACTTTATTCTTACTTTATCAATTCAATATCAACTACATAAACCACTTTTTATAATTTGCGTGTGACTCCCTCTTGTCCATTCTTAGTAGGACGGAGGGAGTATATAATTAGGGGCATATTTTTTTTTCTTTTGTCTCGGGCCTATAAATTGTCAGGACCAGCCCTGGATATGTTTCTTACCCATGCTGACCTGGTAGAATTGAGAGAAGCCGTAAGTAGGGGACGCGGGTCCCGGTTCAAGTCGCGGACAAGCTGGTCTCGGTCAGTTCTAGGGGAAGCCCAGCGTGACCCGTTTATAATTTTTTGATTTCAAGGCAATTTTTTTTAGTCCGGGAGTGGAACCGCCCAATTAGGGTCGCAAAGGCAAAAATATACGGTACACCCGATTGTACCGTGTGATTAGGTACCGCCAGATATTTTTATAATTACTTGCAAAAGGGAGGCTACTAATTAAGGAGAAGGGTATCTGGTTGATTTATTTTCCTTCCATGGGTCTTTCCTCTTCCGATTTGCTCTTCCCATTTGTTCTTACTTTATTCCTTTCATTAAACTAGTAAACTCACCCGTGCGATGCACGGTTTGAGAATTTTTCTTTAAAATTTATGTGTGCTTAGTGATTCAAATCGCACTATCAACTGATGACAACATATATCTTCATGTAATACTGATATACATCAAAGTATTAAACGAAACACACTTATAATGTTATGGTCAAAATGAGAGTATTAAGCATTATTTAAGAGATAAAAAACATCCAACAAATACGTTGAAACCATAACATTGTAAATATGCATTTACTGTAAACTTAAACATGGTTGAACACTTCTTTGAATATACAACATTCTGAATCTTGTCAGTGGTTCCTTCATCTTCATCAACAATTAGAATTTTCAAACCACAACGATTGATAACCCTTGATACTGCAACATACAAATGTACATGGGTAAATACCGGTTTTTTCAAGAACAACCCAACACGTGACAAAGATTGACCTTGACTTTTATTTATAGTTATAGCATATGAAGTCATAACAGGATATTGTCGCTTATGAAATTTGAAAGGCAAGCTTGCATCGGATGGCGTCAAGGACATCTAGGAATTAATACTTTTTGTCCAGCACTCACACATGTTAAAAATTTCCCCTCCAAAACATGATCACCGAGCCTCGTTAGAATAAGACGTGTCCCGTTACACAACCCCATTGAATGATCGATATTTCGCAAAAGCATCACCGGGGTCCCTACATTTAACGATAACTCAATATTCAGTGCACCATACAATTTTATACTATTCAAGAACTCAGGTGTGTGCAGTTCCGCCATTAGATTGGTCGTAGAATCTACCTTAGAAACACTCTCAGAAGACTCAGAACTAAGATATGTTCTTGAAACTTCACCAACATTAAGAGCCATCATATATTCATTAACAACTTCAACCACAGCCAGTGTCAGTGCCAAAACTGCATGGTCGCGCAAAGAGCTCATATCACCTGCAGATTCAACATATTCCGGAAATATGCTTTCAACATTCGCAGCTATAGGATCTCCACCCTTGAATATCAATATATCTTCATGAATAGTAATACGAACATGACCATCATTACTTTCACCCGCAACACTGTCACCAATGTTGGCAATCCAATCTGAAAAGACCTTCACATCATAAGAATATGATGGATTAACCGTGTTCTGCATGCACATATTTGTTGTCAAACGAAGGACTGCGCATCCCGACCACAGATATGATGAATTAATCGTCGCATTGACTGCATCCTTTCTACTCCCATGAGGTATCACCAGCAACACCTGCCGAAAATCAAAGGTTTATATAAATTAATTTAATGTAAATTATTTATAATGACTAAGTAATAAAGTGACTATAAATTTACACGAATTGCATTTTTAGACAAATTGTCTCTCCAAATAGGTAAAATAAGGGAGTAAAATATGTGAAAGTGTGTTATGTCATTCTTGAATTATACTTGAATATAAAATCTGTGGGAAAATATTCAAATATGTGCTTCTACTATTTCTATTATTCAAGTATGGTCTGGTATGATTTGTCTAAGTTTGAATTGGTTTGAGATTGAAATAAGTCTAAGTATAAACATATCAAGTAATATGGTGACTATGCATTTATACGAATTGCATTTTTTTACACGAATTGCCCGGGTAAATTGACAAATCAGGGGAGTATGCAAATATGTGAAAGTGTGTTATGACATTATTAAACAACGCAAACATGTGACCCGTTTATATTTTTTTGATTTCAAGGCAATTTTTTTTAGTCCGGGAGTGGAACCGCCCAATTAGGGTCGCAAAGGCAAAAATATACGGTACACCCGATTGTACCGTGTGATTAGGTACCGCCAGATATTTTTATAATTACTTGCAAAAGGGAGGCTACTAATTAAGGAGAAGGGTATCTGGTTGATTTATTTTCCTTCCATGGGTCTTTCCTCTTCCGATTTGCTCTTCCCATTTGTTCTTACTTTATTCCTTTCATTAAATGTTTCATTGTTTCTCTTCCTCCGCTTATTGTTTTTTCGTAGCTTCTGCTTCTTGTTTTTTTTTGTCCCTTTTTTCTGCTTCTCTTTTTTCTCTTCTTATAATTTTGAAACTTTAATTTGTCGAATTTTAACTTTTTTTTTCTGCTTCCATTTATTCTTTTTTTCTTTTCCTTTAATTTTTCTAATTTTACTTTTTTTATCTTTTGTTTTTTCTTTTTATATACTCCGTATGACTTTTGTCTCTGCTTCTCAAATTTGGGAAAAGGTGTAAATAGGTTCATGTACTAACAAAAAAAGTCAAATAAACTCTTATTTAGGAGACTCTGTCCGGACGTAGCCATTTGAGGTGGTTCCCTGTGAAATATTTTGATGAAATTTTTTGAGCATCTTATTCATTAAGTCTAGTTTACTCATACCAAATTTCAGCCAAAACTTCAATCGGGAAGGCATTCAAATGAAATCTTGAATATAACTGCGCAGTTATCTTCAATAATTCATTTGAATGCCTTCCCGATTGAAGTTTTAGCTGAAATTTGGTATGAGTAAACTAGACTTAATGAATAAGATGCTCAAAAAATTCATCAATTTTTTTACCGGAAACTACCCCAAATTACGACGGCCGGACAAAGCCTCCTAAATAAAGGCTTATTTGACCTTTTTTTATTAGTACATAGGTCTATTTGCCCATTTCCCCCCTCAAATTTTGAACTCCTATTTCTTTTATTATTTTTATGTAAATTTTCTACAAGATTTTTTTCATGCAATTGTTTCAAATAAAACATATACTTCTTTCACTCCTTTATTAAAAGCTCCAACCTTCTAAATAATTATGCGTATATCGTTTAAATTAAATGTGCATTTAATTTAATGAATTGTTTGGTCTGAAATAAGAAATTGGTGTTTCTTTATGTTATGCTGATATGAGCAAACAGAAATTGATATTTGAGCATACTATAAAATTTAAATTAGCCTTTTAAAATTTCGATACTCATTTCGTAAGTTATCTATACTCATTTGATATTGGTATAATGCTCATTTTAAAATGAGCATTACGCCATACATTTTATAATGTCATATCCAAGCATATTAATGCAATGCTCATTTTAATTTTTTTCGATGCTCATTTCATAGGTTATGAATTCTCATTTAATATTTGAACATATTAGAGATTTTAAATGAGCTTTTTGAATATTTCGATACTCATTTTGTAAGTATGTATACTTATTTTATATTGGTGCAGTACCCATTTTGTAATAAGTTACATATGTTCATTTGATATTGATGTTTTACTTTCTCTTTTATTTTCTTTTTCAATTTTTTTTTTGTTACGTACGTTTCTTGCTTGCTTTTAGTTGTTTTCTTTCTTTATTTTCCTTTACTTTTTTTATTCAAAAACCTTTGCTTAATTTTTTTTTTCAATTATTATGTAAATGTATAATATAAAATATTAATATATTATTCGATTTTTTTTCTTTTTTCGATCAACATTCAAACTTAAGTTTTTTTTTTTAATTTTTGCGTTATAAAATATTTTAGGTATTAATGTTTTATCTTTCTATTTTTGATTTTAAGATAAATATTTATTAGTTACTAAATATTGTGTATTAATTACTAACATGAGTTTTGTGTTATATTAAAATGAGTATACAAATGAACATTTGAACATATTAGAGAATTCAAATGAGCTTTTAAATTTTTCGGTGTTCATTTTCTAAGTTAATGTGTTCATCTCGTACTGGTTTATGCTCATTTCAAAACTATAATATTAGATTCGCATAAGAGTTAAATTATATACACGAGAGCAAAGGTCATGATACTCAATTGTATGTTTCTGATAATCAATTGATAAGATTTGATGTTCATTGAAAAGGTCATTATAATTTTGATATCCTTTCGCATATGGTAAATTATGTATGCATATTTGGTACTGGTGTTATGCTCATTTTAAAATGTTATGTCAATGCATATTCCAAAAGCACTATATTACATTAAGTTTACGTAGGAGTTGATTATAGATACGGGAGCACAAATCATAATACTCAATTGCATTTTTCTAATACTCAATAGAAGATGTTTGATACTCAATAAAAATGTTTTAATGCTCAACTAAAAAACTTATGACTTTCATATTAATGCTCACTTTGTAAGTTACGTGTGCTCAATTGGTACTTCTATTATGCTCATTTTTAAAATGTCATAACAATAAATATTTCAAAAGTACCATATCGCATTGGATTCGCATATTGAAATTCATAGGAATTGGTTATAGATATATTTTAATGAGTTTTTATAAAAGAAAAAAAAATAAGAAAAAACAAGGAGTTTTTTCCTAGATTAATGCTAATCAAATAAATATTTACCTAAATAAGGTTGGGTTAATAATTATTCCCAATCTACCGCTACCCTGGTTAACCAAAGCCCCATAGGCGTACGCTGATGTAAGTAAGTCACAAATAGCAATCAAGAATTCAATATGGGTCCCTCAAAATTATAAAATCTCATTATTCTTTAAATAGCTATAACTTTTTTATTTTTTATCTTTTTTGTATAAAAAATAGATCACAATTCATAATTTTTTATGAGTAGAATCAGCAGAACTTCATAAATTTCAACTGAATCAGCCTAATTAGCCGATTTTCGTGCTATCAAACGGGCTCGAAACTTTTGATTTTGCGTGCTTATTGTGTAATAATCAAAATAAGTGAGGTTGAAAATATTTTTTCTGGCTAAATTGGTTGAAGTTACTGTAAATGTATATTTGAACTATTTTTATTCATTTTGTTAATAGAAAATATTTTGAGTCTGTTGAGTTTAATCCAACACGATATAGTAAATATATGTATAAATGTGTATGAACACTCAGTTTTTACGTGGAAACCCGAAAGGGAGAAAATCACGGGACTTTTTAGGCTAATGTCCAAGCCCTCTCTTTCTCATTAGAACTCTCCTCACCATTACATAGTACATTTTGAGCTCCCATTAATGGAGTCTTGTAAGCTAACTAAGGAGGGAGAAGAAGAGCTAAAAAAGGGATCCTTTACATGGAGGCTAAACTCCCTATTTATAGGAGAAGGGGAGAAGGGGCTCTCCACCCTAATGGGCCAAACGGCCGATATCAAGCCTGGTGGGCTAAAATGGGCCTTACTGATTGGGCTTCGTACCACGTAAAGCCTTGAACTCCTGAACAGTAATAGGCCGGGATAATATATCCCAACACAAGTCCCCAGTTTCTTGAGTAGTGAGCTCGCGAATCTGCTCGAGAAAATATACTCTGCCTGCGGCTCTTCCTCTGGCTTGCTGGAAACTGTGTATTCACATAATCATAATATATGAGTGACTGTCTGCACTCCTGAACGTAATCTACCAGTGAGGCACCCCCCTTTCCGACAGGGTCGGGCGAAGGGTGCTCCTCCACGGGCACACTCCCCCTGAATGCATCAGGCGGGAGTAAAGCACTCTGACTCGAGCTTTCCAATCGGAGAAGCTTAGAGGTCCATGCATCTATAAACCGACGTCGCGGTACTGCCAAAACATGATGCACGTGTGTATGTATGAATGTATGAGGTATGATGCATGAATGCATGAATGCATGTAATGTATGAGTGCAATGTATGAGAGAAGGAATGTGAGATGTGATAGAAAGCGGTGGCTCTCATCGATAAACCGAGCATGTCAGCACCGAGGGAAGACGTGCTGCATAAGATGGTCGTCGCAATCCTAGAAGGGATGGGCGATCCGGAGATGAACTCGACACAATGGCACTGAGGGGCCAATCATGCTGCATAAGAGACGTTCGTCACCATCCTGGAAGGGATGGGCGAGCCGAACATGAGTCAGACACGATGGTGCTGAGAGGCCAATCGTGCTGCATAAAGACGTTCGTCGCCATCCTGGAAGGGATGGGCGAGCCGAACATGGGCCAGACACGATGGCGCTGAGAGGCCGATCGTGCTGCATAAAGACGTTCCTCGCCATCCTAAAAGGGAATGGGCGAGCCGAACCGTGAATCTGGACACGATGGCGCTGAGGGGCTGATCGTGATGCATAAGACGTTCGTCGCCACCCTAGAAGGGATGGACGAGCTGAACGCCGAGCTGGGTACGATGGCGCTGAGGGGCCGATCGTACTGCATAAGACGGTCGTCGCCATCCTGGAAGGGAATGGGCGAGCCGAACCGTGAGTCTAGACACGATGGCGCTGAGGGGCCGATCGTGATGCATAAGACGTTCGTCGCCACCTTGGAAGGGATGGACGAGCTGAACGACGAGCTGGGTACGAGGCGCTGAGGGGCCGATCGTACTGCATAAGACGGTCGTCGCCATCCTGGAAGGGAATGGGCGAGCCGAACTGTGAGTCTGGACACGATGGCGCTGAGGGGCCGATCGTGATGCATAAGACGTTCGTTGCCACCCTGGAAGGGATGGACGAGCTGAACGACGAGCTAGGTACGATGGCGCTGAGGGGCCGATCGTACTGCATAAGACGGTCGTCGCCATCCTGGAAGGGAATGGGCGAGCCGAACCGTGAGTCTGGACACGATGGCGCTGAGGGGCCGATCGTGATGCACAAGACGTTCGTCGCCACCCTGGAAGGGATGGACGAGCTGAACGTGAGCTGGGTACGATGGCGCTGAGGGGCCGATCGTACTGCATAAGACGGTCGTCGCCATCCTGGAGGGAATGGGCGAGCCGAACCGTGAGTCTGGACACAATGGCGCTGAGGGGCCAATCGTGATGCATAAGACGTTCTTCTCCACCCTGGAAGGGATGGACGAGCTGAATGTGAGCTGGGTACGATGGCGCTGAGGGGCCGATCATACTGCATAAGACGGTCGTCGCCATCCTGGAGGGGATGGACGAGCTGAACGTGAGCTAGGTACGATGGCGCTGAGGGGCCGATCGTACTGCATAAGATGGTCGTCGCCATCCTGGAGGGAATGGGCGAGCCGAACCGTGAGTCTGGACACGATGGCGCTGAGGGGCCGATCGTGATGCATAAGACGTTCGTCGCCACCTTGGAAGGGATGGACGAGCTGAACGTGAGCTAGGTATGATGGCGCTGAGGGGCCGATCGTACTGCATAAGACGGTCGTCGCCATCCTGGAGGAAATGGGCGAGCCGAACCGTGAGTCTGGACACGATGGCGCTGAGGGGGCCGATCGTGATACAGAAAAATAGTGATGATCATCTCATGGCCCTCGGCCTGTCGGTGAGTGGTAATCGTCTCACGGCCCTCGGCCGTGCTGGTGATGTGTCAAGTCTCTCTCCTGATTGGCTGTGAGAAGCCGATCGTCTGTCAGGACTCCATCCGGGAAGGAATGGTGAGCCTGAAATAAATCTGGGCGATGTCCCTCCTGTCTGATCTGGGGAGCTGGTCTTCGTTCGTCTACCGTATCCGTGG